AACGCTCTCTGGTTTCATTTAAAAGAGTTGATCATCAGATATTGTCCAAGGTTAACCTTCAGGGTGGATATAGCTCGCTAGCAGCCTCGTGCGGATGACCTAGTTGATGTCATCAATTTCCCAGAATGCTCTGCATGTAAATAAAATGGCCCCGTCCGTGTACTATATTTTTAAACTTTTAGTTTAAAAATTATAAAAACTGAACATCCTACAGTGTTTTTACTGTCTTTATTTTACAGTTACTGTATATGTTTATCATATAAAGTCTAATGTTACAACTAATCGGGGATCCCTTTAAAATGTCAATGTCAAACTTTATTTATAAAGCGTTTTAAAAACTAAAAATGTATGACTTATTTTAGACCATTAATTTTAAATTGACCTTTAGTAAAAAAAAAAACTGATGTCGAGTATTTTTTTTCTACTAGACATCAAATAATATTTTGCTGAGTCATGGACGAGCCACTGACCAGCTGTGAGATTCACAACTGAAGCTGTTCCCGCAGTGATGGCATCGACCTGGGAGTGGATCTCATGTTTGGATTCATCCATCTTGTTCTGGATCCACACTTTGGAAGCCTAAACACAGAGCACAAGAAGACGTTTCACCAAACTGGACACATGGTACGGCTATTTTCACAGCTATAAGTGAACAGTTTGTGCAGCAGAATAGCATATATGTACAGTACCATGTCCTGTCCCAACGGTGGGAGGTTGTCAACCTCTCCCAGGTCTATCTGGGCCTTTTGTACAGCCTGCATACTGGTGTTGATGGTTCCCATCAGAGCCTGCTGTGCTGAACTCTACAAATAGAAAAATAAAATTAAAAATGAAGCATGCAGTGACTTTTTAAATTAGCTTACATTCTGCATGATATATGTATTAAAGTGTAACATTACATATACCCAGAAGTATGGCTTAAACAGACCATTTAAACAGATTTTGCATGACTCATCAAAAGTCGTATTATCTCTGCTCCCACATTTCTTACCAGCGGAGGCATGTGTCCACGGTGCATTGTGGACATTGTGATCTGCTGCTGAGGAGAGGGCATGGTACCCATGCTTAGCGGCTCCGTGCCGATTGAGCCGGAGCGGATCACCCCCTTTAGAGCCACACACTCGGGCTCAACCCGGCCCACTGGGTTAAACTGCTGCTGAAGGATTGTGGATCTGCAAGTAAGCAACAGGCAGGCAATAAAATCTGAACCTCCATGTAGCTACACAGCTACTGTAGATGATTGAGATGATGTTTGCTGTGTAACACTTGTTTATTAATTAAAGAGGTTAACTGAAAGGGTGATATTGGTTCTGTAAGACATGGATTCTCAAACTTTTTGGGCCTGGGGACCCCTTACAAGGGCAAAATAAATTCCAGGGACCCCCTCGTAAACCCTTTTTTTAAGTGGTAAATGGTCATTTCAACCCCTAAATGCCATCGGAATATATTTTTATTTAGATTATTATGTTTGTTTTATTAGTTCATTGTTCCCCATGCATTTTTAAAAAATAAAATCCAATTTAACAATTTAGTAACATTTTTTGAGGACCCCCAAGATGCCTCTCGCGGACCCCTGGGGGTCCTGGGACCCCAGTTTGAGAACCTCTGCTGTAAGGATTTTGCATATTTATCATGGTGGACCACAAATACAATGCAAATTAAGATAAAAAAAAACCTTTCACTTTCAAGAGACAAGTGTTTGTTTTATTCTGCAACATATAAGACCTTTTAGAGTTTGACATGTCTTTGCAGTATTTCAGAGTTTTGCCTTTGGTGCTTGCACAGCTAAAAGAAAAGAAAAAACAAAAACCTTTAGCAAATGCAGCAGGGAGCTGAAAGCATAAATGCAATATCAACTGAAGCTTTGCAGGAAACAGGCTTCAGACGTGCTCTCAGAATCTACAGTGGCTAAACGAGGTAAAGCACATCTAATCAGGAAATGTTCAGCTAGTCTTTGCCTTCCCAGCTAAGGAAAATTTCATCAAACAATGATTATCTTTCAGGATAAAGTCCAGCTGAGGAAGTCATCCTCTGGCAAACTAAGATCCTAGAAGATGGAAGCGCGAGCTGAGGCGGCAGGAAGTGAAAAGAAGGAAATTGAGTTCTAATCTGCTGGTTTGTGGGACTATTATGTGGGGAAATAAAAAAAGATTTTATGCTATTTCTGCACTCATAAGCATCACAATGTGGCAAAATCTCTATAAAGCTGGGATTAAATGGAAGCCAACAATAACTGATAATAACAAAACATCACCAATAAAACGTACAAACAAGTTGGCATATTTTAAGCCGTGCTGCCAGCAGGGCCAAAAATCATTTTTATTAGTTTGCCTGATTTACGCACTTTTTCGGAGATACAGACTCCTCGAGCATCGTCGACTCCTCATCGCCTTCTAATCCAAAGCGATCCTTGCTTTGCTTCTGCAGGAGAGAAAATAAACAGCAGGAAAATAATTAGAATTTATTACTTGTACAAAAAAAAATCTGTTCGCTATGATGAGCATGATGAGCAGAAACATAACGCAGCAGGCTGGGATCAACAAATCTGAGGAGGATATTGAATCAGAGATAAAAATCTCACCTTTTTCAGGATGATGTCGATGTAACCGGCAATGAGCTGAGAAATCTGTTCACCTTCAGTGGTCTGCACTGAGTAGTAGCTCTCCTGGTACTCCCCAAAATCCTACATACACACAGTTTCATCCCAAATGAGTGATTTGTGCTGAATTGTAATGTAAGTAACCGGCACAGTGTATAAGCTGAGGATTTACTGTAGGGATTAATGAGAAATCCATGAAGACTGCTAGCCTCGGATGAACACCACACATTGTGTTGGTTGATATGAAGCTGAGGCATGCAGAGGCATATTCACTCAGGAACAGTCTCAGAGTTGATTTAAATACAAGAAATTTGAGCTGTTTTCTTTGAGCAGTCAACCAGATTTACACATATTGAGTAAAGTCTAAATAAAACAGAAAAAGGTGACGACAGTGATGTGTTTTCTTCACAACCTGAAAAAAAAAATCTATTAGCCTTTGCTCCATGGCTAAGAAGCAAATCAGTCCTCAAATCAGTGTCACAAAAATGTAACGCCTAAACAGTTAAGCACGTCAACAAATTAGCTTTCAGGAAATAGGTTTCATCAATTTACTAGTTACAGAGTTCTTTCAGATCCACAAGATTAAACCCCATGTTGGTGCCTGACTCTGAGTGTTGACACAAAGGAGAAGTAATGACAGGGAAGACAAAGGAGCTTGTTCAATCACTGAATGAAAGGAAAGGCAAGCTGTGCTTTGCTGTGTCTGTTTTATAGCTTTCTTTATTGTGTGAGGCTTTGAACGGGCACAATTTGCAGTGACGGATTAAAAAAAAATAGGAACAGCAGAACAAACAAGAAAAATGTAAGAAGAATAAAAAGAAACCAGTGTTTCTCAAAAGAGACTTTTTTCCTTTTAATAAATCTGCTGTTCGTCTGTGCTGGTGTGTGTGTAAGTGGGGTCACTAAATGTACATTTTGTGTAGCTTACCAGTGTGAAGCTCTTGGGTGAAGCAGCCCACCTCTTCACGGTGGTGAGGGGCCACTCTTGAACCACATCTTTGGTCCTTTCATCCACTCGCATCACAGACTCTTTGGTGATGCCCAGGAGTCGAGGCACCAGCTTGTTCTTACTCTTCATCTTCTCCTACAAAGAAAATTACATTTTAACATCATCTTACAAGAAAATTCATCAATAAAAAGAAACAATGGAATTAAGCAAATTGTAGACTAGAGAAAATGTCTACTGATCAAAGTCAAAGACTTTTCAACCAAGTATTAGAAATAAACATTTTTTGTACAATTTAATTTGTCCAATTACATTTGAGCCCCTGAAATAAAGGGATTGTGTTTAAAGGGATCCCTGATTAGATGTAACATTAGACTTTATTTGATAAACATATATTTTAACTGTAAAATAAAGACTTTAAAAATACTGTAGGCTGTTCAGTGTTTATAATTTTTAAACTAAAAGTTTAAAAATATATTACACAGACAGGGCCATTTTATTTACATGCAAAGCATTCTGGGTAAATGATGACGTGGATAGGTCCTCGGTGCGAGGCTGCTAGTGAGCAGAAGGTTAATCTTGGACAATATCTGATGATCGACTCTTTTAAATGAAGACAGAGAGCGTTGACAGAGAGGAGAAGGTAGAAATGACTCAGCCTGTAACTGAAAATATGGATGGAGGACAACAGAGCTGCTTCATGGAAGAA